CCACTTGGTTTTGTACACTTTCTTCTGGGGCAGGCTCGTCCACTTTCCTTTACTGAAACTATGATCCAAATGTTGATGAAGCCCAGATCCGCGACTTCAGCTGTCGGTCTCTTCCCTTGGTGTCAGATGCCTGGATTCCAATGCCTGCGAGACACGTGCCCTCAAGTAGTCTACAAACACTCGGCACTCCAAGGATGTCAAACATGTCATCATCTTTCCGACTGTTGTCTTCTTTCTGGGTCCTGGGACTGGGTAATGACACACATCTTTCACTTTGACAATGACAATCCACTCCTAATTGGTCTCCCTGACGACAGCCACATACATTTGTCTCTCATACAATAGTCAACGTGACAATCCTCAAGTGTGAATCTTATCACACCACTCCCCGAGAACCAGTCAATGACTCCCCGTCACTTGGCCATTGAAGTCCAGACTTCTTAGTTTGGGACAGGTGGCTCCCTGCCTCTCCAGCTTACCTCATGTCCAGGTCTGCCTGTGTCCCATTCCACCATTAATTCCCAGGTGCAATGGTGGTGGGTAGAAGCATGGAGTGGGGGATTCGTCCAGCTGGAGAGATGATCCCGAGGAAAGGATGTGAAAAGGTCCAGGCCTCCGTGCGTTGGCGCCTGCTGTTTGCTGCGCTAGGACCCCTTTCCTCTTTCTTCCCAAAGCCAACCCCTCCTTCAACCCATTGGACACTTCCTCCAGACCAGGAAAGGGGCCCCTGTATTGTGTTCTCACTGCATTGTTTTTCTTATGTTTATTTGTACATCTACTAAACAATTTCTACCTGCTCAGTTTTTTGTGTATGTCGGCTCCTCCACATGCCTGAGAAGGAGGGGTTTACGTGTCTTTATATCGTCATATACTTTTATGTCCCTGTGCCTTTGCACAGTGCCTGGCATATAGTAGGTGTATAATAAATGTTTGATGAGTCACATCTGTTCATCTGCCCCTGTCTGCCTTCATCCTCGGGTGGCAGCAAGCTTCATCTCACATTTTCTACTTCTCCATCAGGATTTCCGTCCCAGTTCTGGCTCCTTGGGTCAGCCCCTGCTCCACCTTCCTCCGCTCTGTCCCCATTGCCAGCTTGGCCTCCTGTTTTCCCCTTAATTCTTCTGCTTCTTCCCTTTTATTTTAAGCAGCCCTTACCCTCCTCCCGTTCCCTTCCAGATGCTTCTCTCCCACTCTTCTCCCCTGGAGAGTGGGGGGCACTCAGGGCAGTTCCAGCCCACTCCTGGCCCAGGTGTCTGCAGCAGGACTTTGCATAATTACCTTCACAATGGGGCCTAATGACTGTAAAGCGTTTTCATCTCAACCCACACGATTTCAGATTTACAGCTACTCAGGCCTCACAGTGCTAGCGGGGTACACACCCCACTCGCCTCTCTGGAGAGTCTTTTGGAAGATGTACCTTCCCAGCCCTTTACAGAAGGGGGTCCCTTAGGCTGACAGCTTTTCTTTCTAATACTTGTAAACATCAGAACCCACTAAGTGTCACTTTTTAATTCTCAGTACCCCTTCCCCGTAGAAAGGACACCCCGCAGTACACCCAGCCCACATTTGACATTTTATAGCTGAGCTTATGTCAAGCAAGGAATCTCAGGGATAGACATAGTCACTCCATCATTCACTCACACTCTTCCGAATCTCCTCCTCATGTCACTCACTGGAGTGGGGACCGAGGATACAGACAAGGGGTCACAGATGATTGTGTACTCACTCTAAGACCCAGAGAATCTCACGGTGTAGTGAGGAAGACAAATCTGAAAGCAGTTTTAATAAAATAAGTCCTTGGCAGAGGCCAAAACATATCAATTGCCGCAGGAACACGGCATAACTAGGTAGGGAGAAGGCTTTACAGAGGTGACATTTGAGGAATGAATGGAAACTGATGAAGCAGATGAGAGGACATCTGTCATGATTTTTATGGTGCTGGGGATTGAACTCAGGGCCTCACACGTGCTAGGAAAGAGTTCTATCACTGAGCTACATTCCTTAGCCTTTTTAATTTTATTTTGAGACAGGATCTTGCAAAGTTGTTCTGGCTGGCCTCAAACTTGTGATCCTCCTGCCTTGGTCTCCCAAGCAGCTGGGATTCCAGTTGTGTGCCACCATGCCCAGCCATCTGTCATGTTTTTGATTGCCCAGTATAGAATCAGCCTTCCTATCTCGGGGTGCACCTGCTCCCAGGAGTCCTGGTGGAGGGAGGATTCTACCTACTACATTTGCTGCACACACAAGGCCAGGATCTTCGTCTCCCTGCTCTCCGTACCCAAGGCACCATGCCCAGAGTGAGGGTAGGTCCTGCAACCTGAGCTCAGCCAATCTGATGTCTCCATAAGGTCATTGGGGCTTGGAAGCTCCAGAGGCTAACAGAAAAGGAAGAGACAGCAGGTGATTGTTCATGGCAGTGTGGCCTGGTCTAGAGTCCAAGAGCACCAAGTGTCTGCTCTGGGGGGCTAGGGAGGGTGGGAATTGTAGATATGACTGGGGGAGTTCTCTGCCATGTGACTGGGGGAGTTCCCTGTCATCCAGCTTCCCTTGTCCCTGACTGGGAGAGCTACTGCCCATCAACTCTTCATTTCAACCAGAAATTGGCCTTCTCGACAGGATCCCTCTCATGTTGGTTGTCTGCTTCCAACCAGACATCTTCCCTTGGGTGAGACATGTACTCTTCAACGTCCTTAAGGGTTGCGCGGCTGATCAGTGGAAGGGTTGGCTGCATGGATGATGTCAGTATATGGAAAGAAGGAGTGGCCTCTGTCCCAAGCCTAGGCCACCATGTGCTCAGGACCCACTGGATGCAAGACTGTGGACCATGGACTCTGGAATCTTCTTGCCAGTGGAACCACAAGGGTTGTTTGGCCTAAGCTCCCACTCAGAGATGGAGTCTCCTTTACAAGAGCCCCCTATGATGGGCACCAGCGTCTGCTTGAAGTCACTACTCCACGGAGCAGCTTGCTCTTGGTGACACTGAGCAGGGTATTTGGTGACCTGCTCAAGGTCTCATACACCCTGCGACTCCGCCACGGAGCTTCTGATCATTCCTCCACATTCTCTCTTGCTGTTCTCCTCCTGCTCCCTAGGACTCACCCAGGACAGCCTGCCTCGTTAGTGCTCCCTTGTCTGAGGTGCAGGGCGTGGTGGCACCTGTGGGCTCCTCAGCCAGCCAGGCAGGGCTCAGGGGACAGGACTGTGCGGTGTGGATGTGTTGGGGGCAGGGTGGATTTTCCCCTTATTTGTTTTTCATTTTCTCTCCTCCTGCTCGGCTGGGCTGGGTAATTGGCGCCGTGGGTGTGTGGGGGGTGGTAAGAGCTTGCGTGTGCACACACACGTGTGCGTGTACAGCTGTGTAGGAAGGCGTCCATGCAGGAGGCTTCAAGACTGAGTGGCCTCTCCTTGCCCGCTGACTTGGGCTCTGACAGCGCTCCCACTGATTTGGCCTTACGAAGTTTTCTGGTGTTGACAGGAACAGAAACAGAAGATGCAGATAGGCTGTGCCGTTTCCTTGGCAACCTCAAAACACTGGTGGGGGAGGGAAGGGTGGGAACCCGAGAGAGGGAGTGATTGGTCTCCACCACCCAGCTCCATCCATCCCCCTCTCTACCCCTCAAAATAGCTCTAGATACAATGTTGATCCAGTCCTAGCGCTCTCTTCCCTGGCCCACCAGGAAGAACAAGGGACACCGGGCAGAGAGGGAGAGACCCCCTCTAGAACCTGCTTCCCACAGGAACCTGGCACCCCTTGCTGTCTTTTCCAACTAGGGTGACTTGTCTCCCTCCACCCCTCACCTCCCTTACTTCCTTATCCTGGAGCTTTAAGGACCCCTCTCCCTACAGCATCCCCCAAGGAAAACCAGAGGCTCCCAGGTTCTGTGCCTGGGAGGAACAGGGCTGCCAGGGAATGGAGGGGTGGGTGCCTCCCCTCCCCCCAGTCACTGAACCTTGGGACAGTTCCATTCCTAGAAAGCGGGAGTCTGAACTGATTTGGAGGCGGAAGACAGACTGTTCATTAAGAACAAAAGACATTTATTAGTAATTAGTGAAATGCCGCCCCCACTGCAAGATCCCCTCCTCAGGGGAAGTGCTCACAGCGCCTGCCCGAAAAGCAGCTCCCGGGCTCCATTCTGGAGAGCCTAGGCCTTTCCTGAACGTCGGCCTGGGGGAGTTCATCAGTCCTGTCCCCTGACCCCTCTCACCCGTCGCCAGGATTCCTTGACCTGAGCATCAGGGGGGGCTCTGGAGACGTTCTGTGGGCATTTTAAAAACAGAGCCACCCTGACGCTGCCCTGGTGCTACACTTACACTTCAGTGGCGGCCACAGGGCCTGTTCTTGGCAAGAACCAGACACCAAGGAAGGGACCCCGCTGAGTTCTCACAGAGGCCCGTCCTTGACCGGATGTTGGGTGTATTTAGGGAGCAGCCTGAAGACAGGAGAGGAGCCAGAGTCACTGCAGGTCCCCTGGGCCATACGCTTTCCCAGGCTCCCCTGAGGGGCCAGTCTGGAGGCTCGGGTGGAGGAAGGGCAGAGGCTGGGAGTGAAAAGGCCAGATTTCTTGTCTGGCTTAGGCTCTGACCAGCTGTGGGCGGGAGGGAGCAATCACGCTTCTGGTGGCCACGATCTCAAATACTGGGACACACAGTCTGACAAGCTATGGGGTGTGGAAAGGGACAATGGAGTGGGAAATTTGCAGAGTAACCAATGGTAGCCATGGTCATGATCTCTTAGCTTTCCGAGTCCAGCCCTCTCTCTCTCTCTCTCCAGTCCTGCCCGGCCCGTACCCCCCAGGATGTTTCTCCAGATCCATTGGCTTTTTGCTCCTGGAGGGTCCAGGGCATGGTCCCCCTGTCTTCACCCCATCAACTGCCTGGAGGTGCAGAGAACGACTCAGGGGAGTCTTCATCTATCTCCTTTATGGAGAAGGTAAAATATCCAGCGAGAGGGAAGAGCCAGGAGGGAGGGAGAAGGGCCAGGATACCCAGGCTTGCTTCTCTTGTTTAATTCTTGATTTGTTCTATCTGTGTTGTCTACTCTGGAATTTTCCCCCCAAATATTACATAAGTGTATATATCCCATTTAAAGAAAGGGGACTTTCCTCAGATAACTTAAGAGGAAATGGGGACAATGGATACAAGGGTGACTTCTCAATCGGGGTGCCATGTTCTGGGGGGATTCGCTGAGGTCCTTATTTGGAGAGCCAACACCTTGGTTTCCGCTGTTTGACCTCCTCACTGTGGCACTCATCAGTTGCCTGCTTCCCTAGGCCAAGGAGGCCCCTGGATGTTTTCTGGGTCTGGCAGCCCTGGCGGGAAGTGAGCAGGAGAGGGGTCCATGGTGGACCCCCACTCTCTGGGCTTCATCAGGTAGGGAAGCCTCTGAGAAGGCCACCTGGGAAGGCCCAGAAAAGTGAGGGCAGAAGATGTCGGCAGAGGGAGGAGGAGGAAAAAGGAGGAGCAGGAGCAGGAGGAGGAGGAGCAGGTGGATGAGCAGAAGGAGGAGGAGGAGCAGGAGCAGGAGGAGGAGGAGCAGGTGGATGAGCAGAAGGAGGAGGAGGAGCAGGAGCAGGAGGAGCAGCAGGAGGAAGAGGAGCAGGAGGAGCAAGAGGAGCAGGAAGAGGAGGAGCAGGAGAAGCAGGAGGAGCAGAAGGTGAAGTGTTAGACCAGGACGCAAGAAAAGACCACTGACTCCAATTAAAATCAAATTAAAGCAAGCTTATTATTTCGACCGGCCGGACTGCCTTTTCCTCCCAAAACAGCAGGAACAAGACAGCAGCCCCACCTTTCCTACAGCCCAGCTTTATAGCCCAGAAAGTTACACAAAAGGGGGGTTACAAATAACAGAACTCTGACAAGCATCACACTAATGGTAGTTTACAATTTTTTTTGCTGGCCCCAACATCAGAATTTATGAAGACCATTAGAGCCTCAGAGAGGGTCGTTGTCTGGCCAGGGAAGGCCAATATTTATGAGGTGTCACTAAAGTTTCAGAGAGGGCTGCTATCTGGTCAGAGAGCCAGGCATGGGTGAGTTCAAGGCACGGGCAGGCATTCCAAGCAGGTTCAGAATTTGCAGTAATTTATACTAAAGCCGAAATTAGCTTTTCATGGCTTTGTGGCAAGATGGCTCCCAATTTTAATAAAAGATCAGGTTGGGTCTATCAGAAGGAGAAAGAGGAGGAGGAGGAGGAGGAACAGAAGGAGCAGGAAAAGGAGGAAGAGCTGGAAAAGGAGGAGCAGCAGGAGGAGCAAGAGGAGGAGCAGGAGAAGGAGGAGGAGGAGGAGGATCAGGAGGGAGACTAGGAGGAGGAGGAGAAGGAGGAGGAGGAAGAGGAGAAAGAGGAGAAAGAGGAGGAGGAGAAGGAGGAGGAGCAGCAGGAGGAGGAGAGCAGGAGGAGCAGAAGGAGAAAGAGGAGGAGGAGCAGAAGAAAGAGGAGGAGTAGGAGAAGGAGGAGCAGCTGGAGGAGGAGGGGAAGAAGAAGAAGGAGGAGGAGGAGAAGGAGGGGAAGGAGGAGAAGGAGAAGCTATGATTAGATTCCTTGGCAAGAGAGGAGGTGCCAGTCCCACTGGGTGGGCAGAGGGGCAGTCCACGTTGGGGTTTGCGTGGCCTGGGCTGAGCCTGAGGGAGCCGTGGGTGGGGATGTGAGTAATGGGATCTCTAGTTTCTGAAGACTTTGCTGGAGGCTCTGGAGACAAGTGTGGGCCACTAAACTAGGTGATACTGTTAGGGCATTTTGAAGCCAAGGAGACTGGGTATCTCTGGAGCCTTTCTACCCAGCTCCCTTTTTTTACTATTTTCCTAGGGCAGATGTAACAATTTACCACAAATATGGAGTTTACAATAACAGAAATGTGTTCTCTTGCAGTTCTGGAGAACAGAAGTCAGAAATCAAGATGTTGGCAGGTTGGGTTCCTTGTGGAGCTGAGAGGGAGAATCACTTCCACACTTTTCTCCCAGCTCACAACCCATGGAACACCTTGACCTGTAGACACATCCATTCCCACTCTCTCCATCTTCAAATGACATCTCCAGGTGTCGTCTCCTCTTCTTAAAAGTACAGCAGTCATTGGACTTAGGGCCTGCCCCCCAGTACAGGATGATTCTTCTTGAGAGATTGGATGATACCTGCAGAGGCCTTATTTCAAATAAAGTCCCAGCCTGAGGTTCTTGTTGGGAATGAATATTTGGGGAGACACTGTTTAACCCACTCTATTCCTTCCTTCCATCGTCACACTGGAGTTCCAGAGGGGACAAGAAGACCTCCTCAAGTTGGACCACTAGTCACACAGGGGCAGGATGTTCAGAGGACACATCAGAACCTGATGTTCTGACCCACTTCTTCCACCTCCTGCCTATCCTGAGTTTCCAAGAAAGTCGAAAAATAAAATATGATTGAACCCCATTCCCCAGGGATGAGTGGGGATGGTCCTCTACCCCAGAGAGAGGCAGATGGCTAGAATATTTCCTTGGGAAATAAATCACACCCCAAACTACTCTCTGTTAGTTGGAGTGGTGTCTCCGTTGAGCCTACCTTAATCCATCTTGCAGCGGCTCCCGTCCTTCCTCTTGGTGTGTCCTTGAGGTTGTGTGTCACAGCTCTTCCTATCTGCTGTTCTCCCACGGCTCAGCCCCCATTCATCATCTCGCCCTGATTTGGGAGGGGGTGCTTTTGCCCAGAGAAGGCATGTCAGGGGCATTCAGAAAGTCGGGGATGAAGTGACCCACCAAGATGCACGGATTTGGCATTTTCCCTATGAGCCATCTCAGCTCTCAGTTTGGGTCCCTCCCTCCACCCCTCCTGCCCCAGGGCTGGTGACAAGCTGAGCTGTGACTCTCTCCTCCTCACCCCCCAGCCCTTAGCCATCCCCATCCACCACCAACTCTGCACAATTGCTCTTTAGTGAAAGAGGATACGAGAAAGACAAGCTTCAGGTGGCAGGGCCATCAGTCACCCTAACATGCTGGAGCCAGCAATCACCTTGATAAATCACCTCCAACTCCCACCACGAATAGACTGCAGAGGGGAGAAGACAGAGTAAGGGTCCCCGCTGAGTCCGTCTCCTTTTGGCAGGTTCAGGGGGAAAAGGGGCCAGGTTTTCTTCTTTTAAACATGAGGGCAGCAAGCAGTGGAAGGGGCTGGGAGATACCACAGTTTGAGGGTTGAGCTGCTCTCATTCCTCTCTTAACTTATAGAACGAAGGATATAGAGTTTAGGAGTCTGGTGGTGAAAGCCGGTTCTGCCCAGGCAGAGCCCCAGGGTGTGTAAGTCCCGAGGAACAGAAAGCCAAGAGTGAGGGGTTGTGGGGTTGCCACAGACCAGTACCTTCGCTGGAATAAGGATCCAGGCCCCCAGATCCTCTGTGTCCTTTCCAGAGCCATGAATTTCATCTAGGGGCTGGGCCTGTAGCTCAGTGGTAGAGTGCTTGCCTAGGATGCATGAGGCTCTGGGCTCTACCCCCAGCACCTCTAAAAAAAAAAAAAAAAATTAGGAATTTCACCTTAACACAATTGTTTTAGTCAGCTTTTTTTGCTGCTGCAATTAAAAGGACCCAACCAGAACAACTGTAGAGGAGGAAAAGTTTATTTGAGGGTTTATGATTTCAGAGGTCTTAATCCATAGACAGCAGACCCCATTCCTCGAGGCTCAAGGTGAGGCTGAACATCATGGAGGAAGAGTGTGTGGCTGAGGGAAGCAGCTCACAAGATGATCAGAAAGCAGAGAGAGAGAGAGAGACTCCACTCTCCAGATACAAAATATATACCCCTTAGCCATGCCTCCAATGAACGCTTCCTCCAGCCACACCCCACCCGCCTCCAGTTAAGGCTCAGTTAATCTTGTCAGGGATTAGCTCACTGATTAGGTTAAGGCTATGACCCAATCACTTCTCCTCCAGACCTTGCTTTGTCTCACATGTGAGCTTTTGGGGAATACCTCACATCCAAACCAACACCACAACAAACTACCGTGGTTTGCTGCAAGGCTCTGTACTATGAATTTTATGCATTATTTACTCCTTACCACACACTGGGAAGTAAAGGAAATGATTGATTTCACTGGGAAAACAGAGCTCAGACAGGTCCTATGCTCAAGGTCACACAGCAAGTTGCTGGAGGCTGGATCTGAACTCGGACTTGCTTCATCTTAAAATCATTACACACATGTAAGTGCCCTGCAGGAAGCTCCCTTGGCGAAGGGCTGGCCGAGGAACCCTGGAGCTGTAAGGTGAAAATAGGAGAAACGAGAAGGTGGGGAGCAGAGCCCCTTGTGTTGGGGCAGTGGGTAGGTTTGCTGATGAAGAAGAGGGGGTGCCCAGCGACTGTGCTGGGCACCCATGTGGTGGGGTGGGAGTCAGGCTGAGTCACTGGAATGGGGAACCGATAGATGCTGGAGATGTGGGGTTGGTGAGGAACAATGTGGTGGTGGTCGTCAGGTGGGGTGGGGCCATCTCCAGAGCTCCCTGTCCCACCCTGTCCACAGAGGGAAGGACCCCTTTCTTCTCTTAAAGACTTTATTTCTGCCCCTTGGATGTACAGGGACATGCCCATTCCTTGTCACTGGTCTTCTGTGTTTTGTTTATGTGATGAGGTTCATCCCATCCTCCACTTGTACCCCTGTTGGTTCTTCATTGAAGCTACTCGCTTTCTTCTAGTCTGTCTTCCCTAAGTGGATGGAGGTGCATGTGTGTTCTTGGAAAAAGATTCATGATATCCTTTCATGAGTGTGTGTGTGTGTGTGTGTGTGTGTTCTTATTTCACAGTATTGTTCCTGTGCTCTAAGTCTCACTGTTTCTTTGCTTACTCAATGACAGTTGTTTAAGGTCTGTGCCTAGCCAGCATGGGGGTGGGCACAGCTACTTGGAAAACTGAGGCAGGGGGATCAAAGTCTGTCTAAGTTTGGGTAACTTAGAGAGACCCTGGCTCAAAATAAAATAAGGAGCTGAGATGTAGCTCCGTGGTATGGTATGAACCCCTAGCATGGGTTCCTTCCCCAGTACCATGGTGGGGGGGATAAGTTGGATCAGGAGATGGGAGATCTAGTGCCATGTAACTACTCCTATGACCTTAGAGTGAAGTTCTCTTGAGCCTCAGTTCCCCTCTAGGCACAATGGGAGGGTTTGGTGTCCTCTTACTCCTAGCCTGAACTCAGGAGGGTGATGAGCCAATGTTATACCTCCATCCTCCATTTGAGAGGCCTTCTGGGTCAGCCTGGCCTTCCAGGAGGAGAAAGAAAGATGGAAGAGGAGACAAGGCTGGGAACACAGCTGGGGGAGCCTGCATTCTTTCCCTTTGACTCCCTCCTTTATTCTCCCCTGGACTCCATTTGGCTTGGCCCATTGCAGTATTGAAGACACAGGGCCCCACAGGGGAATCAGGGCTTTTTATGGTGGTGGGGGCAATCCAGAATGTCAGTCAAAAGGGGGAGGAGAAGAGAATGGCCAAATCTTAATCTTAAATCTTTAATCTTAAAGGTCTCCAGGAGCAATGGGAGCAACCACGGGAATTCCAGAATGCAGGACTCATCTGAATAACCAGGTTGGACGACAGAGGATAGGGCAAGCCCATGGCCCGTTGTCACCTCAGAAACATGGACCTACCCAGGGGACTGACGTTTCCTGCCTGGAGATACCTTGTTAAGGAGGGGTTAGTGGTAGAGGAAAATGATTACCCGAGACAATTAAATGGGACACAGAACAAGTGCAGACTGGCTGGGTTTCCAATCAGGATGCAAAATAACCCCTACTGGGAGAGATCTGGGAAGTAGAACCTGCCCTGGCAGCAAGGGTCATCAGCTCCAGGAAGTGAGAAAGAGGCAGGGGCAGAGGGCACCCATGTCGGGCTCTGTGCTAACCTGTTTGCACTCTGAGGGATGCTGGGAGCTCCATGCAGAGGGGCTGGGTAGGATTACAGGTGATCAGGGTTGACGATAGATGCTCAGAATGCCAGGAGACCCCGAAGGAAGCTGCGGTCCCCTGAAGGGACAGGTCTGGAACTGGCTGGGCATCACTTCTGCCTCATCCTATTGGCCAACATAGTTACAGGCCATCCCAATTCCCAGGGAGCGGCACTCGATGAACAGAGGGTCCAAGACCTCTCGGTGGTCCTCAGCTGCTGTAGAGCTCTGCCCAGCCTTTCCCTCTCCCGCTCCCCACACCTGCTGCAGACCTGCAGCCCCCACGTCCCTCTCATCCCACCTTACGCACCAGCCCTCCTCTAGTCTCCTTCCAGGGCCACGCCCCCTTCCCTGCTCCCCCCACCCCACAGGCCTCTGGACTCCTTCCTTGTAGGACCTTTATCTCAGATAGACCTTTCCTTTCCTCTCTCCACCTTTCCTCTGACAGAGCCAGCTCTTTATAGGCACTTTTCCCATGGCCGTTGCTGCTTCTGTCAGGAAGAAAGCTGAGCTTCCTCCTTGCTTCCTGCCATGACATCCAGAGTTTTCTCAAAACAGAACTTAATTGAAATTGAATGATTTTATTAAAGTCTCTCAATCCAAGTGAAGGCTGAAAATAGAGATAGAGATACCATTAATCAGTCAACCCATGTTTATTGTTTGGAATGTCCAGGAGAGCCAGGCCTGTGACAGACAATTGGGATACAGCGTGAAACTGCTGCTGCTTGGATCTCCAATGTCCCTCAAAAGACCATGCATGTGTGGAAGGCTTGGTTCCCAGGCTGTGGAGCTATAGGGAAGTGTGAGATTTTTAGGAGGTAGGGAAGGAAGTTGAGTCACCAGGTGTGTGCGACCTTGAAGGGGACAAAATAAATCTTTTTTCTGCAAAAGTTAATTATCTCAGGTACTTGATCATAGTAACAGAAAGCTGATTGACACAGCTTATAACTATCGGATCTGAACAGAGAATTAGCTCATACCAGACAATGAGTTCCTTGAGTGGGGGACCAAATCTTATTGTTATTTGAATCCTCAGAGCTCAGGATAATACTGAACAAATGTTCAATGCATGAGTGCATACATTAATTAATGGTTGCATATCTTTCACAGACATAAAATTACTTCCAGAAAGCCAATTTCTCCTAGTTTAGATGAACTGGAGTTCCCATGAGTCATGTCAAAGTTTCTGGATGGTTTTGGGGAATCAAAAATTAAGACTCTTCTTAAAAATCTTTGCCATCTGGCCACCTGCTTATCCTGCTTCTTCCATCCTGG